TGATGTGTGTCTCGAACACCTTGGAGAGTTGTGAGTATTTTCCCGAATTTTTGAAGTGGGAGAATTTACCATTGGGGTCTATGGAAGTTTATTTTCTGGTCTGCTACTATAGTTTCAAAATGGCGCCCTCCATGGTTTGTTGTCAAATGTTTGCGGAGTGTTTTTTTTTTCAGGGGGGCGGAACCTGGGGGGGGGGCAGCGTTTCAAAAGCGGTCACTAATGGCGGTTCTGCAACAAATGCGCCCAAAATCTGAATAGGGCCGATGGACCGTCCTCCGATCACAGCAATTTCGAGCGAACAAGGGGAGGGGGGGGGGGGTAATTTGGGGTCGGAAGGAGCAAAAACTCAATTCACGCCCGTTGGGGGCGCCCTACAGTAAGGTAGCCGCAAACAGAGGGCTTGTTTTCAGGCCAGAAATCGCAGTCAGAGATTTTTTTTTCTCGCAATTTTTTGATGAAATATGAGTCATCCATCCTTCCTCGTGCCGTACAAGTGGTTTGGAGAAATTTTTCAAAACCTCGCTTCTTTATAGTTTCAAAATGGCGCCTTCCACCGTTTGTTGTCAAATGTTTACGGAGTGTTTTTTTTTCAGGGGGGGCGGAACCTGGGGGGGGGGGGCAGCGTTTCAAAAGCGGTCACCAATAGCGGTTCCGCAACAAATGCGCCCAAAATCTGAATAGGGCCGATGGACCGTCCTCCGATCACAGCTATTTCGAGCGAACAAGGGGGGGGGGGGTAATTTGGGGTCGGAAGGAGCAAAAACTCAATTCACGCCCGTTGGGGGCGCCCTACAGTAAGGTAGCCGCAAACAGAGGGCTTGTTTTCAGGCCAGAAATCGCAGTCAGAGATTTTTTTTCTCGCAATTTTTTGATGAAATATGAGTCATCCATCCTTCCTCGTGCCGTACAAGTGGTTTGGAGAAATTTTTCAAAACCTCGCTTCTTTATAGTTTCAAAATGGCGCCTTCCACCGTTTGTTGTCAAATGTTTGCGGAGTGTTTTTTTTTCAGGGGGGGGGCGGAACCTGGGGGGGGGGGGGCAGCGTTTCAAAAGCGGTCACCAATGGCGGTTCCGCAACAAATGCGCCCAAAATCGGAATAGGGCCGATGGACCGTCCTCCGATCACAGCAATATCGAGCGAACAAGGGGGGGGGGGGGGGTAATTTGGGGTCGGAAGGAGCAAAAACTCAATTCACGCCCGTTGGGGGCGCCCTACAGTAAGGTAGCCGCAAACAGAGGGCTTGTTTTCAGGCCAGAAATCGCAGTCAGAGATTTTTTTCTCGCAATTTTTTGATGAAATATGAGTCATCCATCCTTCCTCGTGCCGTACAAGTGGTTTGGAGAAATTTTTCAAAACCTCGCTTCTTTATAGGGTGCAGACCAGTAAATCGGTCCGAAATTGCCTGCGCCGGCCAAATCACGATTTGCATGCCCTCAAAATCTTCGGTATTTGAGCATGCTGTGGGCCATGAACTTGAGGGTTTGTAAAAAATATGGGTGGAAACCGTGCACAGGACTTGGAGCTTGCAGTTCTGTGTAATTTTGATGTAATTTGGACCCTAAAAGCGCTCTACTTTGCAATGGAGTGTAGGCATCGTTTTTCAAAATGGCGATGGGCTTCAGGACTATTTTCAGGGGTGTTCATCTTCAGATGGAAATTTCTCCTAAAAGTCATCAGTTGACCCCCAAAAATTGAAAAGAAAATGAAAGATGATGAAATAAGCTTTAATTTGATGTGTGTCTCGAACACCTTGGAGAGTTGTGAGTATTTTCCCGAATTTTTGAAGTGGGAGAATTTACCATTGGGGTCTATGGAAGTTTATTTACTGGTCTGCTACCTTAGTCGACTTGTGGTTGATTTGTGACGTACCTTACGCCTGCGCTCTGATAGAAACGTGCGAACGTCTCTAGTCAAACCATGATGTCATTACAAAACTTCTGGATCCATTGGTCAACCATAGTCCTTGCGCGAACTTGGCCCAAGACGTTCGTACGTTGCTGTTAGTGCGCAGGCGTAAGGTACGTCACAAATCAACCACTAGTCGACTAATGGTCCTTGCCCGAACTTGGCCTTGGTCAGCCACCACAGACCCTGCTCGTGGAGCAGAGTCACTGGTTGATACGTCACGCACGCGTTGTTCATTCCCTAGAAACGGACAAATATGGCGGCCGGACAGCGGACATCTCAAGTGGATTTAAGTTTACTTTATTTGAAGTCTATTGAGTTCATTGCGACTCATTTTGAGGCTATATCAGCCCAACTTTTTTGAGTTTTGCAATTGACTAAAAAGCAGTAAATCTCAAATTAAGACCCAATCGGAAACGGGCGTTTTGTCAGTGGCTATGGCCTCGGCTAAAGGCGTCACGTGAGGATTGTGATGGCCCGCGGTTGAGCGTTCGATTAGCCAGGCTGTCGTGGCTGACATAATCGTCTGCCTTTACCCGTGTCGACCCGGGTGAGCTAAACGAACTGAACGAACGAATTGAGCACCCACTGAAATTTTCTCTCACAAGCTGGCTAGCTGGTCCAACCATGCCGTTAGATGGCGCACTACTTCCGAATGAACGTTACAGACCTTTCTGCGCTTGGTTGCAGTTGCATTTTTGCCAACCAAGGTCTGCAAAACTATGGAAGGTCCAACACTGCAAAAATGAAAAAGAGTTATAACAGATCACCAAAATATTATTTGATACTTGAAAATACAACTTATAGTAATTCCCACATATGCCTTTTTACTATTTGTTGATGGCGTTATGAGGACTTTTTTGGAAAAAAAATATGTTGCCAACCACAGCTTCAAATTATGCGCTTACGGCAGCCCATACAAAATGGCGCCAATGTTTACAAACAAAAGAAAGGCCTATAGAAGAATTCAAGATTTATAGCGGACGAAAGGTGGACATTTGCTTTCTGCAGCAGAAAATCAAAATGAATTCTTTGTGTGTGTGCGGGGGTGATCGGATGAGTTTGTCTTACATACGCAGTGTGGACTTCCGAACAAAAGACGTCCACATAATGTAGGTAGCACCGACGTTGTGTGGACTTACCCCACGTCCACACAGTGTTTCCCCATTTCTGGAAAACAGGTTTAGAGGCATTTTTGGGTTAGGTTTATCTGTAGCAGAATGAAGAGAAACACTAAAGGGAATCATAGAAAAAAAATTGGGTTGAAAGAGTTTTCACAGTTTGAGAAAAATGAGTTTTTTCACTGGTTTTTCTTAACTACACGAAAGCAATGGAAAGTCCACACTAGTCATGTGAAACAAGTATGGGTGTGTGTGTGTGGGCGTGCGTGTACAAACGCTGCCTTATGGGGTACCGGAACAATGGGAGGTACCCCACAAGGAATGCCCACCGACTTGCAGGTACCGTTTTGGTACCCCACAAGTTTTTCAAAGAGATATAAAGATATAAGGATTTTACTCAAAAACTAGGAATTTCCAAGGTGGGTTGATCTGTCGCGAATGGAAGAGTTTTAAAAAAGGGATATCCAGTCCGAATTTCAGCCCAGGAATTAACTATGGTTAAAAAAGAGCATTTTGACATAATATGTGCGACGTTGCAAAATTTTAGTACACGAGAACAAAGGAAGCACCCCACTTCTATGCCTATGTACAAAGCGCCGTGAGTGTGTGTGTTGGGGGTGTTGGTTTTTTTGTTTGTTTGTTTTTGTTTTTGTTTTACTACCCAAAAAGCAGATTTTCCCTGGCAGGCGAAAAGTGGCCATCTCTTTTTCGATCGAACGGCGGGAGCCCCCCCCCCCCCTCCCCAGATGCCCCCAAAGGAAAATTGGCAACCGGAGAAAATCAAAGTCCTATAACTAGTTACCGTGCTTTTAGCGTTAACGGGTGTATAACAATAAAGTGCCTTTTCAGTTGTAACCTTTTATATTTATTTTGTACAAAAACCTTGTTTTTCTGATTGGCACATAATTATCAAAGTCCATAGTTGAACTTGTGAAAAGCAAAAAGGGGGAAATTGTCGAAGCTATACCACAATAGGGTTTCGAACTGACTCTGTCAAGTTGAATCTATTTACAGTGATCAGCTCTTGATGTGACACCTGTTGGATGCGTATGCAACCAGTAGCAATTTTAAATGTAATTTCATTCCGTCGGTATACATTTTGAGGAAAACTAATAATCGATATTATTACATAATGCAATTATTTTCAGCTTAATTCCCTCCACCAATTATCGCATTAGATTCAGGCGCAGATCGGGGGGGGGGGGGGGGGGGGGGGGGGGGGGGGTGTCGAAACCCCGCCCAGATCTGACTCAATTATTTTTTGCACAGAAATATTTAACACAATGTGAGGCCACCCCCCCCCCCCCCCCCCCCCCCCCCCCGCTGCTTGGACACCCGAAAAGATTATGACAATGGTAAAAATGCCCACGTCCTGTGCACAACATTCGGACTGAGTCAGCTGGGGTACGGGGGCATTTGCACACTATTCTGTAATTGTAGTGTTCATGATCGTCGGATTTGAACAGTGCTCCCATTGAAAGCATGGTACGGACCCCCCCCCCCTAAATTTCAGCATTGATTTGCCGATGACCCCCCCCCCCCCCCTTGCAAAACGTCCAGGATCCGCCCCTGAAATCACATGTCAGATGGGTGAGAACAATGAGGAGACGCATGTGGCTCGGGAAAAAAAATCATCACCATATTGCATGTCAATTTTATTGGGCAAACTGTCGACAACGTGCTATTTTCGCCCAAAGGAGAAACCGGATACGTAGGCCTGATGAAATATAATTATTGACGCCACAAAAGATGGATGATATGAACACAACTTTCATAAAGGGCGGGGGTACGAGCGAAAATCGTGTTCGTCTCTTTCGTGTTGCAGCTTTTCAACGCAAGGTGGCGCTATCGCTGCCGGCTTTCAGCGCACACCTCTTTTTTTCCCCCGACGAACAAAATCGATGAGCCCCCGTCTGGTACCCCTGACCAAAACATCCCCAGACTCTAATAGGTAGTCCACATGTGGGAGATAAAAGAAGTCCAGGTAGTACACCGGTTTCTGTGGACGCTGGGCTAAGCTGAATCGACAAATTAACCAGAGATACAGGGAGCGAAAAAGAGGAGGCGTTTGCCGATGCTAGCGTCATCATCGTCCAGATTTTTTCCCATTCTCCCTCCACCGGTGAGTGATATGGTGATGCTGCCATTTCAGAGATAAAACAAAATTATCTTTGACCCAGGCTAGACGGGTAGAAAGATTGTTGCTCACGTCTGCTTACGCAGGCTGCGTATCCCCTCCGATCCTTGCCCCCCAGGTTGCTCTGCCTGGCTCAGTCTGGGTAAAATTTGGGCCGCTCTCTGGAATTTTGTTTTCCTACTGTCACTCGAACATTTTCTCGGACGCTGAGATCGTTTTGTATTCAGGGAAATTTGCGAATTGGAACTGGAGTCGTACTTTAAGAGAAAATGGATTAGGCCTACCGGTACAGCAACAGGAAACGTAGGAAGGTAAATGTATGTTATTGTTCATGTTTGTTGAACTTGAAGTTGAAGTACACTCTGCAACAAGGAGAGGAATGGCATGTGTTTTGGAATTTGTTGAATATTTCTATAAAATTGCAAAGTTACATAACATGACTTAATTCCATATTTACTGGCAAACAACATGTTTTATAAACTTCAAATTATAATGATCTGACTTGTTCATTTGATTTTAGGAAAATGTAAAAAAAACCCCAAAAAACTGAATTGTAATGCCTAACATTACATGTAAATAATAATATATGCAGATAATATCACTGCCTACCGTGCAGATCATCTCCAGATTTAAATTTAGTTCACTGACATATTTGTGTGCGTGTTTTTGTTACGTTGACATTTTTGTGTGGGTGCAAGATGACAATACTGACTATAGCCTCACATGTATGACTTGTTCAAACAGTTCAGGATGATGTCACGCAGTGCATGCATGGATGAGATCATTATTGAAGCTTATTTTGAAATCAAGTTACATTTCTAATTTTTGTTTTAAATGTTTTTTTTTTGTATGAGTGAATGAATATTCAGTTGTCAAATGGTACTCGGACTTTAATACTTAAGAAAATCCTTCAGAGCCGTGAATCAGAAATAGAAATTAAATTTGGTTCTCATCAGCTGTTTTAGGTGAGTTCAAAACATGAGAGTGAGTTTTCATTCTCTTATAAAAAAGTAATGCCTTTTTTTTCTAATAAGTGTTGCAGCAGCTAAATTACCGAAAAGAGAAAAAAAAGTCCCATTTAAAAAAAAAGGCGATATGTCATGCATCAAGGAACAAGGCAACTTGTTTACTTAGGTCCCCAAAAATTGATTCTGCTTCCGATTACACTGTACATGGCATTCAAAAATAGGTAGGTAGTGAATTTGTGGGTTTTTTGGGCCAATTTATTTTGTGTACAATCATATGGAGGTGTCTGCATGTAGTCAAGGATAAAAGGTAGAATTTGATGGTTTTGGGTGTTTTGTTCTCATTTTTGCCATTAAAAATTAGGTTAAGGGTTGTCAGAATAGGGTACATGTAGGTAGGGAAACCGGAAGCATAACTATTTTTTTTTGGCCTTATCTACTTCCCTGTTATTTTACCGGGAAATGTCTCTATTAAATGAAAAATAGGGATTTCTGTCTATGTTGTGAATCTATAGAATGATTCACAGAATAAGAAAAATGAAAAATTGGTTGACTGTGGTTTTTTTTGGGTGGTAAAAACTTGAAAGTCTTGGAAAGCTACAAATTTGTCTGTAAATTGCAAAGCATAAACACCAAAGTCGAGTGTTTGTTTTCTGTGCTGTTGTTCGAAAATGCCATATTTCCTCTGCTGTGTATTGTGGATGTGTTACATTTCTGCATTTGCATCCAGTTTTCATTATTTCAGAATAATGCTGAATAAAACACGCGGCCACCAGGATATAAATGGTACAGAACACATGTATTGCATGTCTGTACATGTATTGGTTTAAATTTGATTGGGTTGTTCACGCTCACTTCATATCTGAGTAATATTTGCTCAGAATTTCAGACCCTGTACAACATTTTAAGTACCTGCAAATGTACTACATGCAACTACATCATGTAATGAACATGTTTCCATGTGTTCTAAATGAAAAATTTAATTAAAAAAAATTTCATAAAATGTTTTTTTTTTTTTGGAAAAGCTCTTGTGGGGTGGGGGGTGGTGGGGGGGGGGGGGGGGGGGGGGGGGGGGGGGGGGGGGGGGGGGGGTGTGACTGGTAGGGTGGGGGGGGGGGGGGCTGTGCCCTGTGTCTCCCCTTCCCATAGTTATTCCACTGATAGAAAAGGTGGCAGATTTTGTGGAGTAGATGTTTTCTGTTGTTGATCATTGATTGGATTGGAATCTTTGAGTAATCATGGATTGATTCCATTTAACCACATTGAAACACATACATGTACATGTACTCAATTATGTACACTAATTGGAAATCCCCTCTCCCCCCAACCCCAACCCCCCCCCCCTCCCAAAAAGAAACTCAAAGTGATTTGTATTACAAAATAATGGGAAGTTCAGAATCCTTAAAACATGTGTTTGGACCGTTTCCCACGCGTCATGCACAATTGTTTATTGGGACAAAAGCCGCTGATAAAGTATCAAAAGCAGAAACTGTGTTAAACAAATAACACTGATTCGTTCACGGGTTTCGTGTACTTGACTCTTAAAGAAATCACATGTGTATTACGTGGACAACGACTATTCACTATATGGCATATAGTACATCATGTATGTGTACATTAGCAGTTGTTACTGTGATGCTGTGATCATTTGGTGAAACTTAAAGGGACACTAGGTCCTGGAACAGCCCAATTGGGCTGAGATGATGTTAATCGGAAATAACATTTAAAAGTAGGATATAAACATCCACACAACTATCCTTTCAAAACTGGGCGTTTTTGTGTTATTCCTGTATTATGCGTGCGAGAACGAATGTCAGGGTCCACTTTTGCGACCCCATAAATTCGGGCTGTTTGGATGCTAGTTGTGATTTCACTCGTAAAGTGTTCGCCTTTTGCGGACGGTGAAGAAACCACTTTTTTTTGCATTGGCGATTGGTCACCGCTGTTCCCGAGACACACAACGTGTATATCGTACACTGAGAACGACACGAAAAACGTATTCCTACTCCGTCATGTCCGATGTAAACAATTGTTTTTTTTCTCGTCTTTTCTCGGGAACGGTAAGACATTAGGTTGGTTTCCTTTCAACCGGATGTTGGAAATAGGCGAAATAAACAATCCAAAACATAACATTTTGGGGGATTTCAGGACCTAGTGCCCCTTTTACACAAACACTGCTCGGACAAAATTATTTAGCACATGAATTGTTGAGCGGTCATGTGCAGAGAGTCGGTTTCTGCTGCTGAACTAGAATGCACTTACATGTACTCAAAATGTGACTGAGCGCAGTTTTTGTTTGGACAAACGCGGTAGATGTATGCACATGTTAGGCAGTAATTTCATTTGGGAAATGAAATGTGTGTTCATGCACCCACATATTACACTATGCATACGTACACGTACTGTACATGTATACATACGCAAATATACGCAGTACCGGAATGTACATCAAAATAAGTGAGAAATTTGAAATTTTGAACTGTATGCTGACTACATCTACCTGGATTTTTTTTGCTGCCAAATTGCCGACCTGAAATTTTGCTTGAATATAGGGATCGGACTTGAAATTTTGTATTGCCACATTTGGCCAAAAATTTTCAGTAGACTTCGAAAATTAAGAAAGTCTTCCCGATTTGTGTGTGTGTGTTTATTAGTTGAGGAAACAATTAACCAGGTTAATTAAACACAATACAGCTTTTAAAGTAAACAAAGTACATTGAAAGACCCAGAGAAAACATAACAAAAGTCCGAAGGAAGTTATTGTTCTGCCCAACTACATGTACCTGGATAATTTTTAGGGTGTTATCATAAACACACATTTTCTTTCTGGCCTTACGTGCTTATACATGTGTATAAAGGGGATTCCTCGTTTGATTTTCTTATATACAATGTATGTACCCCCTTATGTTGTTTTTGAATGAAAAAAAAGTTGTAACAGATGTTCATGTCCAGTATGTAAGCATGTGACATTGCATCGTCAAATATTAATTTATTCATAAATTCAGATTATAAAAAAATACAAATACACATTGTTCAATTCCGAAAGTTAAAGTCAAAGGAAAAATACTGCATTTCCTCACCGATTATTTTCCATGACCCCAAGTTATTTTGTGTCAACCCAACTACACACGATAATAATGATACGGTAGCGGTAAATTTCTGTAATTTGTTAAAAATGTACATTTACTGAATGTTCCTTTTTTTGTTCTTTTGAGTCCCTTGGCCCAATGCAATTCATCATTTTTTTTCATGTGTGTTGAAACAGATACACTGAAACACATCATGTGCTTTTTTTGATAAAGATATTTATTACTACGATTGCATTACAGTTATCAAATTACACGACAGATTTCCCCAGAGGCAACCAATAAAGCCCCCTCAAGAAAAAGACAAAAATCATTGTCTGTGAACCAAAAACCCTGAAGTGGACAAACTTGAGATTGGAGCAGCCCTCCACGATTTGTTTTACTTCTTACGTAATATTTCACAGAAACAAGATCAACAAGTACCAAGTGATATAAGATTTGAGGCTTTGCATGGTGGAGTATCGGTATCATTTCGGTTTGCGGTAACACCATGTGGTAATAACTACTGCTTAGAAGATATTAGTTCTGAAAAGAACTTGTCCTGCTTATTATCAAGTACCAAGTGGTACAACCCACGGCGGTTCAACAAACCGTTCAACCGCGAATTTTGCCAGGCAATGGGGCATGATCTAATATGCAAATTAGACGCATGCGCGCATCGATGTCACAAAACTGCAGGTACCGTATTCCATAGAAACTCACTGGCAGAGATGTGATACAGACGTGGTTTGGAACAGTGTAATACACCCCGAGTAAAATGTCCACCAACCAACCCACCCACCGACTAGCCCCATAAATGTGGCCTATTTACTGGACTGCCTCCGTAAACATAGGCCACACATCCACATGTACAAAAACGTGTCGCACTTTGCCAAATTTTGATTTTCGCATTTAGGCTTAGTTTGTAGGTTTTTTTTGCTTTAGAAGCATACTCACCCTCTTTATAGGCTAATCAGAAAGTGCTGCCTTTTTCAGATGTATAGTTTTCGTGAAATTTCCAGATTCATTTTTACACGTTTGCGTATCAAAATCTCAACATGAAATTTCACAAAAATTAGACATCTGAAAAAGGCAGCACTTTCTGATTAGCCTATAAAGAGGGTGAGTATGCTTCTAAAGCAAAAAAACCCTTCAAACTAAGCCTAAATGTGAAAATCAAAATTTGGCAAAGTGCGACACGCTTTTGTACATGTGGATGTGTGGCCTATGTTTACGGAGGAAGTCCAGTAAATAGGCCACATTTATGGGGCTACCCACCCACCAACCCACCAACCAATGAACATAAGCAGCTCAAGTCCACGGCGTGTTTCACACCGCCGTGGGAAAAAGAAATCGTATTGTACAATCTTCAACTCATGCTGCCCCTCCTATCTCTTGCCCATGAATTTTGTGCTCCGCTTACCTAAATGTATACATGTACAGACGGTAACGCATGCAGCCCAGCATGCCAGCTATATGACGTCAGCAGCCTACCTGGAATATATTACCCAAATACCGAGTCAATGCATTATATTAAGCAGGTATTTATATTGTTCAGGCTAACGGTTTCGATTGCGCAGCATACATGTACGTGTGCATACGTATGTTGGTTTCATGCGTGATCATATGGCTGCTTGGAATGTACATGTATTTGTACATGTCTGGCAAAGATTAGGCTTGTGATTGAATAATCAGCGATGTTGATAACGAAAAAATGTCTTTGATTAAAAAATGAACATTGACTATAAAACGTTTCTGGTTTTTTTTATCAGAGCTTTTGTCAAATGTAGAATATTGGCTTTGAAAAGGTGAAGTACATAGGCGTAATGTCAAAATTATTTTTAAAAATTGTATTGACTCTATTATTTCATGTACATTACATCTAGTTTGACAAGTTAGGGCTCAATATAAACATACATGACCAAATTGCAAATGTGTAGTACATTTAAGAGCACAGTCTGTAGAAAGGAAACTGAAAGAGTTTCTACACGAAGTCTGTTACTAAATCTAGGCATATTTACATCTGTTGAGTTTACATGTATTTTTTTGATACCAGGTATCAAGGATAGATTGTGGTAATCTTTGATGTTAATATTTGATTTGCATTTCATCAGCGTCTGTGTTATTTTTTCCGTCAATTATTTATAACCACTTCAGAAAATTGTGTACTTTTGATTTTGAAACAGTGCCTTTTTATCTGCTCTTAGTGTCAGATACATTGTACTAAAGATGGTATGTTGATACTAAAAATGTTCAGCCGAGAAACAAAAATATAAATTCATCTACTGCAATCATTTTTAATTTGACACATCAATGTGTTATTTTGGGAACATGAAAAACTAATGGATAGTGATTTAAAAAAAAAAGGAAAATAAAAAAGGCTTCTTACGGTTGAAGTGTCAATCAGGTCCATGGTAATGGCATATGCAGACAATTATGCAGTCTCTCCTTGTGGTTTTGAGAATGTGTATTCACGGAGAACAATTCAATCTATGCTCACCGGAGCAAATGTCTTGAAGACGACATTTACGACTGTGAACCTTTTGAGATTCCCCCCCCCCACAAGCAAGGTGTAAAGGTGTATAATGTTTGTGTTGAGCAAATTTGTATATATACTCCGACTTGAAAATGATATAACTTAACAAGGATGTCTTTGAATAAAATTAAGATTCTTGCGTTTATTGTTGACAAAAGTAAAAGTTAAAGGCAGAGTGGACCATTTGCAGCTATCCAAAAAGGTAACCAACCAAATTATTGTTAAACTCTTACTTGGTTTAAAGATAGTAATGGCACTTAAATCTCTGTGAAATTATTTCTTCTGGCATGCTGTTATTTTGAAGAAACGAAAGTCTCCATTCCAAAGATGTGTCAAGTTACACATTTATGGAAATTTCCATTTGTAGTTGGTTTGCAATTGGGGGTATCCGTGAATAGGTGGAAGCCTTGACAAGATGCACATGTGCGCGTGGCTACTTTATTCTTTGGTTCAGTGTGTGACATCATGTACCCACATGTACAATCGGCTGAATGAGAATCATGTCCCGAATGCTGATTTTGGGATTGTGTCACAAGAGGGCGCAATTCAAAATATGACACGGCAGTTTTTGAACTGAAATCAATATTGTGCTTTCTTAAACTATACAGCATTCACAGAGCTAAACTGTCATCGGGTTAGTTGTTTAGCATCCGTCTTCAGAGTTTGAGCACCTTTGTTGTTTCAAACAAAAACAAAAATCACAACTGACAAATGGTCCATTCTACCTTTAAACAATCATGATGTCCGTATCAACATTTGAAACTTAAATAAATATCATTGTAATCTTTGAAGGTCAGGAACAGAACTGATTTCAAGACAGATCCAGACTTTCTGGAGTCAAGTTAATGGCTGAAGCCCATAAATATGGATGCCTTTAAATTCAAAGCTGATGGTAGGGCATATTAAACCCCATTAACATTTCCAGCCTTGTTTCCCATAAATAACAAAACCTACCGGTAATAACAGAACATCTGCACTGTAAAAATAAACTCTCAAGAGATTGATTTGGCATGTATATTTTCCTCATTTCACAGAAAACTTTTAAAAATAGATGTTTTGTTTTTTCTTCCGCAGGTGACTTCCGGTAAACTGTTGTCGCTCGAAGGGAAGAACCCCGACGGACAGGAAGGGGCGAGGGAAAATAAGAAGTAAACTCACGCCGGGGAGGACTATAGGACGAGACGGGACTCACATCAGGGAAAGCTGGCGTCTTCCTTTTTCTTTCTCCCCCTCCCACCCACCCATAAGCAGGCAACAAGGCAGCCCATGACCAGATAAACACCCATCAATGCGTCAGGCTTAGGGGGAGGCCCGGAATACGAGTGAAATTCTTGTGGGCCAAGATCGTTTTAAAGGTCGTTGGGATGGACGAGATCGCAAGCTGTTGCTGAGGTTTCGCCGTAGTTGACATCCACTCCACCGAGGCCGCCTTCGCTGCGTGGGCTATTTTAAGGGCAGGTTGCCAGAGGGAGATAAATAAATGTGTGGGTCGACACCTCTTCCGATTTCCAGCTGAAATCGGCACTATCTGCTATTCATAGTCTATAAATTTCAGATCGCGTCAACCCGGTGTGTTGGAAATTCGTAACACAACAGACTGAACTGAGCTTGTTGCATTGTGGGTCTTTTGGACGCAGATAAGGCGAAGTGGTCTTGACGACCTCAGTGCTGAAACAAAAACAAAAAATTGAGCGGCGCAGGAGTAATCGGGAACTGATGTGTTAGAGACTTTTTTTTTAGTTTGGGCTGGAGCCTTGCCTAACCCATTCTCTGCCATCATGGCCAAGCTTTATGACTTCCAGTGGCAGATTACTGTACCGGACGGTCTGCTGCACGGAGCAACATTTGAACGCTATGATGAGGTAGGTAACAAAGAACACCCTTTCAAATTTCTACCCTCCCTGGCTTTTAAGCAAAGAAAGGGGGATATTGCGATAGTGTATTCCTTTTGTGTGTCCGTGTGCATGTGTGTTTTCTATTTTGGTTAGGTTAAAAAACTGTTTCGTGCTGTCATATGAAAAGTCAGACTTCAATCTCAACCAAACTTGGTGACAATAATCTTTGGGTAGGGGGACTTAAGATGACTTGAGACATTTGAGGTCAAATGTCATCTAAGGGTCAAATGAGGTCATTGTTGTTTTTGGTTAGGTAACCTGAAAAAAGCTGTCATTTGAAAAGTCAGACTTCACTCTCAACCAAACTTGGGGACAATAAGATGGGTAGGGAGACTTAAGATGACTTGAGGCATTTGAGGTCAAAGGTCATCTAGGGGTCAAATGATTGATTTTGGATGAGTCAATTGAACAGTGTGCTTACTAACTGACTATATAAATACTGCCAGCATGCCAGGGGGATCGCGCAAGTTTAACTTGCAGTATTTTTATTAAATAACAAATCATGCGTTGTATATAAAAATTCAAAATTGTCCCTTTTCAGTTCTGTTTAATCCTAGCCACACAAATGTGGCTCCTATTATGGACTTCCTCCGTATTGTCACGATTGCGAGCCACAAAGTAGTGACAGTAACATTTGAGTAAAAGTTGTTTTGGGAAAATTAAAATCAGGACTCTTTTTTTTCACTTGATAGTTCAGGCGAAATTTGCAGAGAGTTCAACTAAAAAACATTGCAAAAACAAACAAACTTCTGAATGTTTTAAGAAGCACACTTTTCAATAAAATTAACCAAAAAAGGATGTCAAATAGTTTTCATACACGTAAGAGGATTATAAAGTTCCACAAAATGTGTTCCCAAGAAATATTCACTTCAGTGGCCCTTTAATGCAGAATCAATGGATGCACAATGGTCTACTGATGTAAAAGTGTATCCCTGTAGAACAAAAAGCCCACACTTCGAAAATGGCTGCAGCTTAAAAAAACCCACAAAACATCATCTTCGTGGTGTGCTGAAGGGTATAAAATCTTCATTTATCTGTACCCTATAGTGCAGTGTCACATACATGTACCGTATGTACACGTATCGTGCTGTTTGGTCATATACCAGTTTCAATCAGGATATTCCGTGCCCTGAAGCAGTTCAACGCCACATACATGTTTCTCCATAATTGAGACATTTGGGTAATGTTAAAGGTTTTGAGTGCGTGACAACCAAGTACATTGTACGACGTGGTATTTTTTTGGGCATTATTCCCACATATCCATGTATTTTACATGTAAATGAAATTCACAATGAAACACAATTATTATTATATGGAAAATTTAACAATGCAGTTTTTGCACGCACAATCTGTACATGTATCAGGGTATATCGCCGGCTCAGTGCATGTAAATATCACAGATAATATTGCCGTCTTCGTATGACGTTGACATTTGCTGTTAAGTCAACTGACCGTTGCGGTGAGAAGCGCTATTACCGACGCATGAACACAGTCACCTGCATTGCGCATTAAATATGAACCAAACTAGGTGAGATGTGTATAGATTGCATGGAGTGGCTGGCTGGGTTATAATTAAACAGCCAGCGCGTGAACCGTGACTATGCCATGGCAAACAGTGGTACTGTGTACATGTACCTCAATATTAAAATCCTGGTGGATTATACAAATGGTCTAATTCTGCCACTGATTGAGAGGTGTGGTAATATGTACAAATACTTCATATACTATATCAACCCTTTGTTTCAGCTTACCATTAAACCCTAGCTGTCTATATTTCCATCCCTTACAATGTAAGTGTACATGTACCCAAAGGGGGGGGGGCAGTTGGGGTGGCTACCCCTCTCCCCCCCCCCCCCCCTGACTGACTGACATATATTCACATCATGGATAAAAGACATTTTCTTAAAGGTACAGTCCATCATTTGTAATTTGTGCATTTTGTTCGTTTGAAGCAACAAAAGAGTTCAAAATCTAATGAAGGATACTGAGCAACTAACCTGATGAAGTTTCAGCTAAGCTTCAGCTGTACATTCCGAGAAAAACAGCATTCTAAGATCTCAATTTCAAATCAAAAGTTACTGAATCATGTTTTGAATTGTTTTGAATTGCAGCTATACGCGACGTTGCGCACTGATCCGACGAATTACAACAACCGCGCGCGCATGTGCGTCGTTCCAATACTTGTGCGCGCTGCACTGAATAACAAAACGAACTACTAATTTAAATCACCGTTGGAAATGCCTTCTTTCGTTGATTACTTCAAAATGACAGCTTCCCAGAAAGAATAATTTCACAGGGAGTTTAGTTCCCTTACTATCTTTCAACCAAGTTTGTTTTTCAACAATAATTACGCCAGTTACTTTTCGGATGGCTGCAAATGATGGACTATAACTTTAAGTCCCGTGAATTTAGTAGGGTTGGGGTTATATATACAATGCATGTTACGGTGTTTTGCTGTAGCTACATGTACAATGTACTGGTACCGGTACCATATGTGCACTATTTATATATTTGTACACGTAGCTTTTGTTTACCCCGTGCAATTTATCTAACATTACAAGATAATTGACAAGAGGAGGTGTTTAGTTCTTTGTCACATTTGGGTTGAAATAAATATATTATCTTGCAGATCACCATTGCAAATGAAACGCACACACACGTACCATACCAGGGCGGGAGGGGGGGGGGGTACCTGCATTCATGCGTACCGGTACGTAGATCTACCCCTTTTTTTAGAAGGGGTGTGGTCAAGATCAACCCTGGAGTAACAATCGTGCTCTGTACATTTGTTTGGTATGGCCATCAGCAGATTATGAATGCTTAGTGTGTCAAAATCTGTTTACTGAAATCCCATTGCTACACTATCTCTTTGGAAATGACTGTTTGAAGTGGGTCAATTCCCTCAAAATCCCAAATCAGGTTTTAATCTATTTTGTACACATGATATTTTTAAGCCACTCAACACACTACCCATGTACATGTACATGTAGTGTACAAATTACAATGTCGGCAATTGCTTTACAGGAATACATTTGAACATGCACGTGTACACATGTTTGTTTATGGTGTCAATCGAGGATTTGTTACTCTTCCCTTTTCCTTTGTTTATACTCTTTACTTTTCTGCAACAGCTCTCATTGGTTTTGTACATGTTTTCTATAAACCGAAGAGTCCTCGATTTGGTTCCTGTCCTCAATTCATCGATGATGTTGCACCATGAACAAATGCATATATATACGTACAAAAAATATCTTACAAAATATCTTTACATACCACTACATGTACATGTCTTACCATAAAAATCATTAGTGCAGGATACCGGTATGTATTGTACCGTTATGCGGCTTTGAAAAAAATACCTTGTATCACTATTTTGTGCGGTAAAATTATTTCACCAATTAGCCACCTATACGTATACATGTACATCCATCCATACATGTACATGTACATCTTAACACTTTGATGTGAAATGCACATTGCAAATAGTGTGCCAGATGTAATAACCATGCAAAATGGTTAGCGTGTACGTATCCCGTACACACACTGTTTCTAATATCGAGAAAGGAGAAAGGAGCACATATACCGGTACATGTACATGTACATGTACATTGATGTACATAGACATACTATGTATACCGGTACATAATGTATAATGCTGCCCTGCAGATTTGGACGCACATGTACGCGTATGTACATGAGGATTATAAAGATGGGCATATGTTCAATGTAATAACTGAACATAATGAGAAAATAATCTACATTGAACTAGAAATTGTACATTTTGTTCAATCATTTCCGTCTTAATCCATTAAGTGACAGATAGGATGCATTGCGCAGAAGAGAGTGCAGACAAACAAATGTGTTTCTTTTGTAAGAACAGTCTGTCAGTCCTCACGTGTTTGGAATTATCGGAATGTATTCAGAACACATTTCTAGCCAGGTCGGCGGAATGTTTTTTTGTATCTCCCGTTGCTCGCTAGAATAAGCATGTTGAGAAATGCCTGAGTGCTACGCGAAGGTTTTAAAAGTACCATGGCTATCTCTCTCTGGTGGGTTCGTTTAATGGGAATTCCATTGGGTCCATGTCAATAAATTTTTTTTGTACAAATGGCTGGGCCAAGACTGTTGAATCATATTTCTCGCCGGGGAAGAAAAAATAATAATCACGAGGAAATGTATACCGTGAAACTATTACAGTGTTAAGTTTTAACTGCAGGTGCATTACTAAAACAAGAAACGTTATCTACGGGGTAATTATGCTTTTTGGACATAAAATGCAGACAAGGCTAATTTTTTTAAGTGTTCCCAATCAAAGTGTTTTGGGATGATCAATTGAAAAATAGTCGTCAACTTTCCCATGGTTTTTCACAAAGAATTCCCTGAATGTCATTTTGAGATTTCACTGGCAGAAATTTCCTTTTTGTTTTTGGAAAATGACTCATTCTCCGATGTCTAGAGCAAATTGCAGTCTTGCATGCATGTGCATGAGAACCCAAACGGAAGCCACAAAAGACGTGCTTTGGACTGCGTTGCAATGACAATTACATAATGAAGGACATAAGCGGTCTTGGTACAACGTACATGTACGTATTTTTAAAGTACATGTACAGTGTACACGCAAACTGATGTTAGACCACGATGTTTTCTTTCGGATAATAACAGAAAGAAAGAAACATAACTTGACGATAAATGCCTATAAATTGTTCTGGCGGTCAATAAAATTGTGTGGGGTTGCATTTTTTATTGCTTTCAATAGGGTCGGTCAGGTGACCCAAACCAAAGGAATGTTTTGTTTGGCCTTATAGGATCGAGAATCCTGTGAAATCATTGCGCTTACCAGTAATATACTGTCATTTTTTTGAAAAGAGGAATTCCCATCATTTCCTCATGATGCGTAGCACCACCATCTCGATTTCAATGCAAACACTTTCGGGCTGGGAAAAAGGAAGATGTATTTTCATGGTTTT